GATTAATTGCTTTAGTATAATTTCAGAGCTGAGCAACAGAGAAATTTCTAAAATCATAGCATTTTAATAACATTTATTATTTTAACATTTTATATAAACCGCGTGGAGCGGTTTATATGGCGTCATAGAATGAACCGCTCGACCAATCAGATTGCTGGAAGCACTTTGCTCAGCTCTGAAATTTTACTAAATCTATATAATTAAGTTTTGGAATCGCTTGAAATCATTAAACGACATCTAATTCTCTCAAGAAGTTGAACTAATTTTTCAAGGGAAATTCTTCCGAACACTGTTCGACTGACAGTTATACCTGTTTGGTTTTTTCCCTTTTTTAGATGACGTTATTGCAATTAAGGGCGCCCAATAAAGGGAAAGAAGGAATTACAATCAAAGGAAAATCAAATTTGAAAGTTGTGACAAATTAACGTCATAAAACCATTACTTGAGTCTGCATTTCTTTCTAGTGGTGTCTCTTTGACAGTGTTGACCTTTTAGAGCAACATTTGTGAAACTTAAAGAATGGCTGTCAAATGCAAAGCAAATCATTTTAAAACCATTGTTTAACAGTACAATATTTTAGGGAATTGGAGAACAGCTTGACACGGAGGTAAGAAAGATCAATGCAGCTGTTGAAGTCGTATTACTTACTACCCTAATTCGAATATTAGATTATTTCTCTTGAAAGATTTGTTTATTTTACCTTTTTTTTCCGCACTTTGCTTTATGAGTTAATGTTTGCCATTTAATGGATTTGTGTTGTACAGAGATAATTCAGGTAAAGCTGATTAGCCCACAGTTGGAAAACCCAATTTTGCTTAGAAAAAGGACATATTCTAATTTAAATGTCTAGAAAGCCAAATGTTATTAATAACAATAATAACTTTATTTATACTGCAAAAATTGATCAGCTGAACTTAAATAAAGAAAGCTGCTATTCACCTATGTGCAGTTCACAAAATATTTTAAATTCGTGTATTATTCCATGTATAAAAATTTAATTAGTGTTTGGATCCTAAATCGACGTGAAAGAACAGTATTATTTCTTTACAGTGCGAGATTGGCGGAAACGCCAATTTGAAGATTTTCTCTATCTGGTACGTAAATTGTAAGCAAAGATGTTTCGGCTTTGACCAACGGCTGATAGCGATGCAAATCATTATTCTAACGAATTCAAATCCTCGAACGACCCCCGCAAAGGCTGGGTGCTACATCAACAATGCTGTTTGTCAAAGAGAAAACATTTAAATTTTATTTAATTTTTCCCCGCAGTAGTTGATGCCAGAAATTTTTTCATTTTCAGCCATTCGCTAAGCACACTCTTCAATTATCATCTTAATGACGTCCGACGAATTAAGCTGGTTTCCGTTCAGTTTATGGTGAAATAACCTCGTTTTGCGGGTCACGTCACATCCATACAGTCTTTGTAAAGACAGGTTATGGATAAACCGTGACTATCAAATGCTAACGCCATTTAATCAGTTGAGGTCCTTCGCTGAGTACATCACTGAGTAAATGCATTTGTTATTGACGAGGTCGTGTGTCCACAGACGTCGAGCGCAAACAGCAATACAATTGACGTGATGAGCATCTTATCATTGAGTGAGCCCTTCAAATGTAAATTTTCCGTATTTTTGAACGATCGTGCGATCGCAGCAATGAAAATAGAACGTTGCGTACCTGTACAAGGAAAAGCTACAAAATGTTAAGAGTTACATTAAGCGCACAGTACAAATAACACTCGCGCTGAAATTAAAGTTGCAAGTTCTCCTTTGGAACCTATCACCTTAACAATTGCATATGATAACGGCAACTTGACGAAAACTCCCTGATTTGCACGGAGAGTAAGTAAGTTTTAACGATCATCTCAAATACATAGAAAATACTTTAAATGAACAAGGACGTATCGACGGAATTCGATTGAGTTCGATACAATTTGGAATCTCTTTATCCCATTGAAATTCAAGTCAAGTATTTCAACACAATTTTTTGCAGATAAATATACTACTTGGGGATTCCAAGCTAAGATTTGAACAACTTGGCACGCTTTAGGATACACCAACAACAATCTGTACAATCTTACCTCTGATCAATAAAAGATTGGTGCGTAAAACTAAGGTTCGTACACTAACCAGTTTGAGCAAAAAATACTTAAAAACCACACAAAATTTAAAAAGAAAGCGAATCACGTCAATATAAAATTTACGTCACTCTCTAGGCCGTGAAATTTGTTCTAGTTTGACGCTCTAAGCCTAATATTTGCATAAGATACAAAAGATTCATGCCTCCATTATTCCACCATTTTTCCTTTCGTTCCGTTGTCATAGTTATTAGCAAACGGATCAAAACAACCGCTGGACAATGACGGCACGTTTTCATAACCTTTCGTTTTCCGTTCGTTTGAGATTCTGATTTTCTCCAGCAATCTAACAATTTTTCTTAAAGGCCTTTCATTTCCTTCTAACTTAATTTTAACAGGCATTTAACTAGTGCACGAGTTTTAAAATCTTCTCTTTTATTATAAAGCTGTTTTTTCTGACGGTCATAATCTGCATATTTCAATTCATAATTGATTTGTTGTAAATTCATCGATATTTTTATCACAAATGAAGCAATTTTTTTTAACAACAAAACATGTTCAAACATGATGAATAATAGGTAAATCAATAAAATCGTGTTGGTCCAAACTCTAACACTTCTGATATTTCACGCCGCCAGGCAAACAGATTTTAAAAAAAGCAAAAAGAAATNTTAGTGTTTTGATGCTAAATCGACGGGAAAGAACAGTATTATTTCTTTACAGTGCGAGATTGGCGGAAACGCCAATTTGAAGATTTTCTCTATCTGGTACGTAAATTGTAAGCAAAGATGTTTTGGCTTTGACCAACGGCTGATAGCGATGCAAATCATTATTCTAACGAATTCAAATCCTCGAACGACCCCCGCAAAGGCTGGGTGCTACATCAACAATGCCGTTTGTCAAAGAGAAAACATTTCCATTTTATTTAATTTTTCCCCGCAGTATTTGATGCCAGAAATTTTTTCATTTTCAGCCATTCGCTAAGCACACTCTTCAATTATCATCTTAATGACGTCCGACGAATTAAGCTGGTTTCCGTTCAGTTTATGGTGAAATAACCACGTTTTGCGGGTCACGTCACATCCATACAGTCTTTGTAAAGAACAATATTGCAAACTTTAGAGAGTTGGACATGGAGGAGGATTCGCAACAGGACTTTCAGCGTATTTCCCGGTCTGATATTGTGTTGGCGGTCTTATATGCCGTTGTCATAATTGCGGGCATTTTTGGCAATTCGCTTGTCATTGCCGTGGTTTGGAGAACGCGTTCAATGCACACGGCCACGAACTATCTGCTTGTGAACTTGGCGTCTAGCGATATTCTCGTTTTGTTATGGTGCCCTCGCACTTACGATTTCGCTGTCACGGGGTCGCTAACCAAAGGCACCACAGGCGACTACCTGTGCAGATTTTTCATCGCTGATCCAATAGATATTTTATGTCTTGGTGTTACGTTATTTACTCTGACCGTACTAGCGGTAGAACGGTATCAAGCGCTCGTAACACCTCTAAGCACCAAATATAAGCTCACCAAGAAGAGTGTAATATACGCTATCTCTACAACTTGGATTGTTTCTTTACTAGTAAGCATTCCAGACTTTATTTTCACTCACTTTGATGGCAATCTTGGAAAATGTGTGTCACCGTTGGGACCTGAAGTGGACGCTAGCAGCGGCAAAGCCACTTATGTTGTCATTGCGATCAGCTTGAACATCTTTATTCCATTCCTAGTCATCACATTTTGTTATTTTCAGATCCTACGTGGTATGTTTATTACTCAAACCATTTGTGCGGGACCAGCGAACGTAAATTCGGAGAAACGAAAACTTGCCGTTCTCATTATAGCTGTGACAGTTGTATTCTATATCCTCGTTTTGCCTTTTGCCATATTCATGCTCCACGTTGCTTTCAAGAACCACTTTACCAAAGAGTACAGACATAATGAAACTGACGTGACAGTGCTGAAAGTTTTAAGCTTTCTTATCATCGCCAACAGTTCTTTAAACCCAGTATTGTACGCTTTTCAAAGCGAGAATTACCGGAGGGGCTTCAGAAGTTTATTCTGCCCCAAGAACTCTGTCGGCCAAGTACAAAATTATCCTCTGGGGTAAGAGATGATCAACCGTGAAATCAGCGGGACGATCGTCCAGGATGAAATAGTCCTAAAGTGCGATCTGCGAAGGAATCTATCAGAGTCAATTCCTCTGGATTTTATCATCAGGAAGAAAAGCTGTGTCAGTGAGTGTCAGTTTGAAAAGGAGTAAAGAATATCCCGCAAATGTTAGAGTACCCTTCTTCCCTTCCTGTCATTATATCGAATTAAATGACTGTTGACAACCCCTCGAAAATAAAACGAAAATGTATACTAGAAAAAGCTGATACATGATCAGACTGAACAACGAGGCGGAATTTCGCACTACGCAAGAGACAATGTGGCGCTAATTAATTTGTATGTTTTTGCAGCTTTTTCTAGAAAGATCAGCTTAGGGATTACAAAAACAGCGTGTAAATAATCGAGCTAAGTTATCCATTGCTCTAATATTATGGTGAACTTGTTTACATACATGCAGTGCAACCTTTTAACCGTTCCTTTTTTTTTCCCGCAAAACAAGACGCGTTTTCATTCTCTTAAACGTGCTGTCTTTGAGATATACCGAGAGGCGAATGATGAAAATTTTATTTAACATGTATAACCCTTCAGGTTTAGACCACACAAACATCATTAACATAACACAATAAAACACAACAATAGTCTAACAATTGTCTAATCCGGTCTCTCGCATACATCCAACTTGTTGCGCAAAGTTTATTTCTACAAAACGTTCAGGTTTTAACTGTGGTTTAGTTCTCCTAGGAATGATGCCCGTGCAGCAGATGGTCTTTTAAAGCGCAAAACCCTCGTTGACGTTATCTAAACAAAATTGCGTGCATTTCACTTAAAGCTACTCAGTAAATGTCAAAAAATGCCAGATTATCTCGACAAAAACAACTCGTATCGCACTAAAAATTCTTCTTTGAGAGCTTTTCAAAGGTGAAATAGTCGTGCTCAAGTGAATTCGAGTCAAGTACATATTATTTCATCCGGTCTGTCACACAGCCTCGCGACAAATTGATTCCTTGATTAATTTTCAAATATGATTACTCTTAGTGGAACTTTATTTTTCATTCCCTGTCTTATTAGTGTTTTGTAAACATCAGTGACATCGAATGGTTTCCTGTAGGTAGCTTGAGTAAAACGTCAAACGAGACGCCAAACTCAAAACAACACTAGCAAAAAAGAAAAGATTCTCGTTCTCCTGAACGGAAATGAGTAACACTGGTGATCGGAAATTAAAAAATGTCCTTGTTTATTGGAAGTAAAATTGTAATTGTCAGTATTTTTCTTTAATAGGATTGCAACTTTTTATTTCAGTTTTGGAACCGACCGAACCCTCTAATATCCCCAGTGATGTTCTCGGAATCCATTTTGCTTCGAAAAAAATTTGTTGCTATAGGATTTTACCCCAAATGCATTGACCGTCACCCGAGAAAAGACCGGCTTAATATAACAGGATGTACAATGTTACGATAGCGGCTTATCTCGCACACATTACAGAAATCGTTGTTAATTAACTTGTGGAGAAATTGGGGGTCATAGAGTCAGACGTGTTTGACCACACTTGGTGAAAATTCTACGGAGAAACCATTTCCTTACTATTCTCTAACTTAACCCGAGTTTCATCTACAGTATTTCATATTAAACTGACAAAGCAGTAGGTAAATAGGGAAAAGAAACTGAGGTGCTGTGTCGGTATGGAGTATAGCGAGGTTTCATCACTTGAGTCAATAATGTAAACTGGCCGCCGTAAAGAGTTAATTAAAGCTGCTGAGAAAGCTTTTACAAGGTATTTTTCGCAAAGGTCTGTGATTGGTCTAGACAACTTGTACTGTTCCTTCATGCAAATCCTCGATCAATCACGACTATAGTCACGATTAGTCATTGTTTTTTTCCCGTGCGGATGTTGGTCTCTGCGTTTACGACGAGTTATCATCGGCGGGCATTAGCTATATCTTGTGAATCCAATCTTCTCCCTCTCTGGCCATCATGGTTCATTATGCCATTATTTGTGTTTTTCTATCTTACTAAACGAATGTTCCATTTAAGCTGATGGTAATTCTGTAAATTGCACTCAAGTTCCCTAAAAACTTTAAAAATGACGAAGGCCGAAATAGTTACCTGAAGCAAATCAGGTATCTTATTTGAAGAAACAGTTGTTGTGATCCTCTGCATAAATGAAACTAGGGCTTAGCTTTGACGATACATCATTTAAAACCTCTTGATTGGTTCTCTGTTTGAAATTGCTTCATCCCATTTTCAGAGCCTGATACTCCTATAGAGTTTTGGACCCCACAGTTCACCTTATAATTGGCTTCACGTGGAGTCATTTTATCAATGTCTTGCTCAGTGTAACCCAGTGATGCAAGTGATTTCCTCATCTTTTTGGTGATCTAATGTTAATAGAAAAAGGAAAGAAAAATAAGTCACCTTTATCCGCATTTATCATCGGACAGGACTTGATGGCACTACTGGGAGAGGGTTTCTTTTGAACAGAATATTTCAAAATAATATAACCTTTTGAAATTTGAGAAACAATTGGCCATCATTTTCTGCGAAATGTTATCTACAACCACACAGCACTTTCTTCATTTAAGACCCTGTACAATTGCAATTGAGGAGGACCGGATTGTCATCAATAGTGCAGCATTTCCTCCTCTGCTTATAAGAGTAAGTTTGTTCTATAAATCAAGTCCTAACCTTGATTTGACCCCAGTCTTTCAAAGCAACTAACAGTTTTGGCTAAAGTTTTCAAATCAGCTCCCCCTGCTTCTTAAAGTTCCCACCACCATATCAGATATGCCACTGGAAATAAGTGCTCTTGCGGTACAACATTTATTTTCCTTTTCTTTAAAGAATAACAAATTGTCCACAATGGGAGTTGTTGAACATTCAACTTAACAGTTTTACATTATCTCTCTTTGGGAAATATCAGGTACCCCTATCCTTTGTTTTCTGGCTCTTGAAAATCATCCACACCCCAGTGGAATGAGTCAATAGACATCTCAAGGTGGGCATAGAAATTTTCTGCAGCTTTGGCACCCATTTGTTTAAATTTATGCAGATATGATATCTGACTGTCAATGGACAAGTAAACTTACAGGAGTAATAATTTACCCTCCTGGAGCAACTCCAAAGATCAAACTAACACTGCACTGCATTCATCATTATACTACGATAATTACCATAAATGATACTGATGCTTGTTGCTGTGGTTGTCCAAAGAGAAAAGCTTCTAAAGCTTTCTGTGAGTTATATCTAATTATGGAGGAGAGATTACATCAGCTTACCTCATCATGGATAACCAAATTAATCATATGTGGTTTTGATGAAGAGTACATTTAAGTGCTGGCAATGAACCAATATCTCATGCAAAAGGATTATCAATAAATACTATGATAAAGAAATTAAACCAAGATAGACTCTGTAATTGTGAGCAATTGGGCTCTTAACAACTTTACTTGTGACCAAGCAACGAATCCACTGATATACCTTATTTTCAGCCTTGGAAACTCTCTGCAGCAGCCAGTTTAATTTGACTGGTGCAGTTGATAAAAGCATAATTATTATCTCATCTAAGTGAGGAGATAATATGCTTTTATCAAAAAGCAAATGAAAGTCCGACTGATGGTTTCAGTCAAATTAAATTCAGATACAGGTTTGCCAAACTGTAGTGCTGCGTCCGTTGAGTTTAAAATAACGTAAACTGGTCACCGTAAAAGAGTTTCTGTAATCTAGTAGTTCTAAATAAAGCTCATGTTTGACGGATATAATTAAACTAATACATTGGACTTGTGTCTCAGACTGGATCATACAGTTATTTATCGATATTCATTAATTTTGGTTACAGTCAAACGAGTTGTCATGATATGATTATCTGTAACTCTTTCATCACAATGAAATTCGTGTCAATCCTGCTAATATAATAACAGGATATTTTATTATGGTTTTAATTTAAAAGTCAACGTTTAATTCTCACACGTGATGCAGGTTGCACGGTCGAACTGTTCTTTACATAAGGTAAAAAACAGGTACAATTAATCCAATGTGCTTATAAGCTTACCTCCAGAGATTTGTGTAATAAATTAAAAGAATTCTTGCGTTTCTTGATCGAGTGACAAAGTCTCGGTATCTTCCCTTCCACCACAACTTCAACTTCGACATGTTCTCTGTCAGCTCCTCTCAGGGATCCCCTCAGAAATCGATGCCCTGGAGGCCAGTCTTCTCACGGTAATCACATGGTGTTGCGCGCACCATTTTGGATTTGTTCAAGCAAAACCCTTTCTCTTTTCTTACTTGAAGGGCGTTAAATATGATTTGTGCATATAGATATTTCCAACTTCACGAAACGATATCGTTTCGGTGAAGGGTAAATACCGGGCTTTTGTGGAAAATTTACACCGATTTAAGTGGTGGTGTAAGGAGCGTATGGTTAGAAAATTGATGAAATTATGAATAAAAATCGTCGTGAAGCCGACAGCTCGTCATCTTCAAGAAGCATGGGAAATTTCGTCGGTCGAGCTCGATCGAATAACAAAGTCGTGATCGAGGATGACGATGACGATGAAATTGAGGAAATAAATACGGTTAGTGATAGATTCCAAAGGGTAAAATGATTAATTTAATGTTGTTGTGACTCAGTGGGTTTGTTTTTAAATTTAGGCTCGACAATTCTGCTCAGATTCTAAACCAGCTCCTGAAGCTGAGAACCGACATTGGCCACATTTATTCTGTTCGTAATTGATACTAATTTTTATTCAAAATCAGATAGTTTTGATTTTCTGAGAGATAACTTTGTAATCTGCATGTTGATTCTGTTTTTATAGGGGAGCGGTGGGGAAATCTTTTCAGGGAGGGGATTCTAAAATAGAAGAAGTAGGTGCAGTGGTATGACTCCCTGGTCATGAGTGTTTTAGCCTCATTAGCTGGTTCAATTTAATACTACCATATTTACAGTGTATCTTTAACAATTGCAAGAAAGAATATATCCAAAAACTATTTTGGCAAGTGATTGCTCAATATTTCCTTTGTGAAAATTTATGGTAGTCATCTTTGATTTCGATAGCAGCAGAAGGCTGGGAAAAGAAATAATTTGTACCAAGGGGGTGAGTGAAAATCAAAAGGAGAGGGATGGAGGGTAGTGTTATTAGTTTTCTGTTTTTTTTCGCTTATTGTTGTTCTGCAATGTAGCAAGAGGTGGCAAAAACTGTGAGAAGTGACGGGTCATCAAGATCGAGGACAAGGAGGCAAAGGCCAGAGGCTGAAGTTCAACCAGAACTTTCTCTAAGTAAGAGATTATGTCTGTGACACTTTAAGAATGTCTAAGATTGCTGAACCTCTCTACATTACAGTTCGCCAGAAATGAATCAAAATAAAAACACTCACAGGGACTACACGGGTTAAATTTTCAAATAGTCAACTCTTTGATATGATCAAGGGAGATACAGGACCAATTCCAAAATTCTGGTCCCAATCACTCAATTAGAATTAAAAAATGGTAAATTTTGAGCCTGTTAAAGAAATGGAGAAATATGTCGTTTGTCTCGTCACGAGTGTGAGATACGTAATAAATTCTGAGTCCCCATGAGGAGTTGAATATGAACTTCATAATGGGCTCTGTTCACTCTAGAGTCTCTGTGGCTGTGGTAGAGCATTGCAGTGCAGAATCCAAAGGTCTGAGATTTGATTCCTCATAGGGACTCAGAATTTTTTCCGTGTCCACCACTTGTGACAAGAAGAACAACATCTTTCTCCAATCTCTCAGTTTTTAGTCACACTGATGACCAATGAGGTCACAATTTGGAGCCCTTTTTAGCGTATATGCTTGATTCTTGACCTGGTGCCACTGTCATTTTGAATTAATCTCAGTATCTGAGCAACTGCATAGCTACCCTCACCCCTCGCCTAGTCCAACATTAACTCTAACTTGTTATCAATTGACTGTTGTTGTCTCGGGGGGGGGGGTAGGTGCAGGGTTGCTCTGAGATCCTGACCTTGATGCCAATTTTTCATGCATGTTGTCATGGTGATGGTGGTGATGGAGATAAATATTAACAATGATCAAATGATGACAACACTTAGAGCTTTGATATTGACCCTTCATCTTTCTCACATGTTTTTCTCTTGTGGCTTTATAAATTGGAACTTGACTCCCTGAATGGGACTCTGAGTTCAACGCTCAAGCAGTTTGCTGGAAATTTATGAAAAGTATCTGATGAGTCTCTTGGCCCAGATAAAACGCCATGTCATACCAGTCACATTTTGTTTTTCACAAGTATTTGACAAGCATTTTGTATTAACCCAGGATATTTGAAACCAGTTGATTAAACTGTCCAGTAAATGTTGTCTTCTCAGGAACAGGTGGCAGCAGTGAACAAAATAATGATTGGGATGACGATGAGTTACAGGTAAGTAAGCATAGAGGTTTTTTTTTTTGTGTTCGATGTAATGGCCCTACAATTAATAACGTGAGCATGGAAGCAAACTTTCAGGAAAATCAGAAGCAGTGTGGGGAGAGAGAGGGGGTAGAAAGGGGGGGGAAGGTCGGACGGTGTTTGCTCGACACTGAGAAAACTAGATGACTGCCGAAAATATGAGTGGAAGGGACCCCCTTTCACCGGTAGAGGAAGAAAATTTACTTTCTGAAGAAAGCGAGACAGCGAATTCTTCGCATCGGGGTACAGACAAAGTGCTTGCTGATGTATTGTCGGCCATGACCCAAATGAGTTCTACCATGTCGTCCATGGAAAACGCAATGAAACGGTTAGCTGGCGCACCAGAAGACCATGCTACACCATCAAAAAAGAGGAGAACATCTCCTACAACTAATACCATGAGTGATAGTGGAGATTCAGACCCTGAGAAGTCAGATTCTGAGGAACTTAATTTCCCGCCCAATGGCGACCCGCCAAAACTGGGCAGCTCTGACGCATTGCTCAATGAAATTGCTCAAGACTTTGAGTCGGATGAGCAAACTGACCCAAAAGTCGCTCAGAAATTGGCGGATATTGTCAATAAGCGATGGGGTTCTAAGTTAGAGGAAGCCAAATTAAAAGAAAAATTGGCGAAATACAATCGACCCGATAATTGCGAGAAATTAACTGTGCCAAAGGTCAACCCCGAGATCTGGAATAAGCTGAAGCACGTGACCAGGAGCGCAGATTTACGCCTTGCCAACATGCAGAAAGTACTTGTCAAAGTCGGTAGTGCAATCGCTAAATCGACTGACACACTGTTGGCTATCCGTGCAGATCCTGAGAAGACTTCAGCGTCGGCTCTCACTGAGAAATTGGGGAAATTAATCACGCATAATGCTGACGCTCTGGCATTGTTAGGCCATGTAAACATTGACCTATCATACCGTCGACGCGACGCCATCAAACCAAACTTAAATAACGAATATTCCTCGTTGTGTGGCTCTCAAGTACCCATCACGAGTTTATTGTTTGGAGATGAGCTGCAATCTCAGCTTAACAATATCAAAGCAACTAACAAAATTGGCCATGCGACTACTGCAAAGCCATATTATCGCAACCATAGCGATGGCTGGAAGGGCAAATCTTCTCACTCAAATGGAAAGCCTTTTTTAGGGAAGAGGGGCCGGTCTTACCGGCCACACAACCACAATTCCTACAAACCACAGGCAACCGAGAAGAAATCCAGCCAGTGAAATGCTCTGATATCCCAACAAACAAGGTAAATATGTTACAGTTCCTTGAGCACAAGGCGCACTGCTTTAAAGCAGGGGGGCTGGGAGAATATTATTATCAGTGGCAGGCCTTAACCTCAGACCCTGAGATATTGCAAATGATACTAGGCCAGCCAATCGAGTTTACCAGAACTCCATATCAAAGAGTAGTCCCCAAAGAGAAGAAAATCCTTGATTTAGACAAACAACATGTCATTGATACTGAAATAGCTGAACTCCTTGCTAAGGGTGTTATTACCCCAAGTAGCCATGAAAAAGGGGAATATATCTCTCCTATTTTCACTAGGGCCAAAAAGGATGGTTCTTTCAGAGTAATTTTAAATCTCAAGCGTTTAAACATTCATGTACAATACCACCATTTTAAAATGGACTCACTTAATACTGTTTTACAAATGGTAAAACCTGGGTGCTTTATGGCATCCATAGATTTAAAGGATGCATATTATTCTGTGCCTATTGCCACTGCAGACCAAAAATACCTGAAGTTTCAGTGGCGTGGAAAACTGTATAAATATGTTTGCTTTCNTGGGGGTAGAAGTAGTAGAATTAGTTGCTTTATGCTGGAATAAACGTACAAAGGATAAATTGCAGCATTGGGCCATCAGTGTCCTGTGTTGACTATGGTTTTAGCTTTTCCATGACTGTGTTTTCATTGCAAAGTGGGATTTAAGTCTTTCCATGACTTAGGCTTAGTTTTGCTTAATTATATCCTATCCTTGTTCTGTGGCAGGGTGTTTCTAAGAGGACCATTTCTTGGTCAATTACAGTTAAAACATCTTTCAAGTGTTATCTACAATGTGTTGGCACCCATTTTTACTGAAAGGTTGGCTGATTATTCAAGTGCCTTGCCGAAGAACAAAGCAGAATGACCCTTGCTCAAAGCCTAAACCTTGATCTCTCAGTTCCAAATGCAAAGTTCTTATCTAAGGGTGTGGCATTTCTTAAGCACCCAATGGTGGCCTTGTTAGCAATAAATCTCCACAGAAGTGAAAATCTGCTTCTGTTGGGAAACCAAACTAGCAGTTACACTGTGTAATATAACACTGAAGATTTGGTTTAATTTTTTTTTATTAAATCAGCAAGTTCTGATCATGAGTAGAATTGAGGCAGCTGAACAAGAGGAAAGGAGAAAGATGTGGAAAGATGTGGTAAGACAGTTCAGTTTCTTTTATTCCGTTTTTTTTTTTTTTCATCTATTCAGAGCACTTAACCCTCTAACTCCCAGATTTTATCATTAGGTCTCCTTACTCTCTGCTATATAATTCTTATGATGTTAGTTCAGAGATTTTGGTATTTGATCAACCAATAATCCCCTAATTGATATTTCCCTTTGTTCTGATCATTTGTCAATATGATATTGTAACAGACATTATAAATAATAATAATAGTACGGTATTTATATAGGGCTATTTCTATCACTATCCAATAGCACTATTGGATAGTGCCATTATTACATGGCTGTGTCTCACAAGGACTGGGAACTACTGAAATCACAAATTTGATTGGCTGAAATCAATATTGAAAGCGGTCTAGATTGTCCCATCTAGACCGGCATCTAGACCGGTCTAGAAAAAAAAGGTACAAAGAATATAAAAAATTGGCATATAAGACACAGCCATATAATAAACATCTTATTAGCCTAGCTAGGTCGGTCTGTATGGGAGAATCTTGACCTCAGTCGCTGGTACAGACCTCACTGCATTCGGTCTGTACTGGCGACCTTGGTCAAGATTCTCCCATACAGACCTCCCGCTCAGTAATTAAGAACTAATTATTGTGGGGAGGTATTCTTTCTCAGTCACTCATGGAAGTTGAAGGGAGAACAAATGAGTGGGTAAACCCAGAAGACAATTGAAGCAAGTGAGACAAATATCACTATAGTAAACAAAAGCAAAATTCTGAAGCTTGGGAAAATATAACTGACCTAGTCATTTTCAGGTTTTAGCTTCATATCTTATTTTTTTTGACTGGTTGTATCAGTTTTCTAGACAAACACAGGAAGTTGTAAACAAAAATAAAATGCAATACCAGATTTCTAGTATTGTTGAACAGTAAAACTGCAGCATCAAAGATAAGCTATCTACATACATACATACATACATACATACGTATGATGCATGATCCTCGCAGTAGAGAGTGCTATTTATGCAATAGCGAAAATCAGACCTGAAAAAAATCAGGCCTGTACGGGATTCGAACCACTGACCTCTGCGATACTAGTGCAGTGCTCTACCAATTGAGCTAACAA